GTAACGAAAAAGTTGGGAAAAACACCGAATTTGGAGAACGATTTGGCCATATTTCCTTGACTTTTTTTTTGGTCTGATACGTATGTGCTTTAGGGCATATCTGTATTCAGTTTCAGCATATTCGGACCAGTAACAAAAAAGTCGGCAAAAATACCGAATTTGGAGAACGATTTGGCGAACTCGGAAGCTACTCCGAATAGGGTTTTATATACTGCTCTCGAGTTTTTTTTTAATGTTTGTAGTACAAGCCTGCATAAAATTTCCGATAACACTGATTGTAGTGATGCGGCGACCCCCCCCCAATTTCGGGCCTTCCATTAACTGCTACTCCGCTACCTTCTCCCCCCGAATACAACATAGAGTCAGTATAGCTGTATTTAGAGATACGCAGCTATAAGGACCGTACATTGTATGTGGGGGAAAAAGGTAAGCCACCTCTGGCGCGATCCCAGATGGCCGGCCCAGCTGCCTCATGACCAGATCCCAGGCCCAGCTGCCTCGTGACCAGATCCCAGGCCCAGCTGCCTCATGACAGGATCGGTGGTGAAGGCCTAGCTGCCGGTGGCTCCTCCACAAGTGCAGTTCCTGGTAGGGGCTTGGCGTCATGGTGGAGTCATATATATATGAGGCTCAGCAGCTCTACATGAGTGCCATGCAGATTTCACACAGGTGCGACCAATCCTAGCTGCGTCATGACCGGTGGCTGCACCAGCGGAGTTCCTGGTAGGGGCACGGGGTCCTGGTGGTGCTCAGCTGTTCTAGGTGTGTGCCATGCAGATTTCGGGCAGGTGCAACCAGTCTCATCCTCCTTTCCGTTTATGCTCAAAATCCAGTGCCTGCAGCTTTTCAGGGTCAGAAGACTAAACTGACCCTTGGCCCTAACCTCCTCTAGCTGGATCCCAGGCAGAGGCACGGGGTCCTGGTGCTGTAACCTGAGACTCGCTGGTTGTACGTGTGTGCCATGCAAATTCCTAGTCGCTCTACAGAGATGTGGGCACCCTCCACCTTGCTCAGTACATCCTCCTCTCTCAGGAGCTGCTGAATGCTTGCAAACTTATTGTCCGTCTTCCCAACTGTTCAGAATTGTCACCCATTGTAGAGCCAACACTGCAAGGGAACAAATAGCACATATGAACGAAACACCAAGTATGTACTATGTATGTTCCCTTGCATCATCATGAGGTCTAGAGCCCACAATTCAAGGGAACAAACACTGCGTATATACCTTTTTTTTTTTTTTTTTTTGCAGAGGCCAAGTACTAGACCCACGGTGATCGCTGGCAGCAGCAGCCGATGGTTGTCCCAACAGGAAAGGCCACCTTACCTTCCCTTCCCCACGTTAATACTCCCAGCGCACTCCCTATCCCTACTGTCCTACCTCAGTGTGACCAGCACTCAGGACCATCACCCTTACAGTATAGAGGGCAACTTGGACCAGACAGCAGTGACAAGCGCCAAGGCTGGGCAACCCCCCGGCCCTAGTGGAAGCGGACGCGGACAAACCTTGCCGTACAGGAACTTCGGACGCGAGCCTCATGCAATCTTCTACAGGCCCAATATCAGAGAGTACCCAGCAGGAGTACCTAGGCAAGGCTACGCCCACGGACACATCCTACCGTCCTTCCCCTAACTTACCCAACGCTAGGCGGAACTCAGACTAGCTGGAGCAACTTATATCCCTGCCCTACCCTAAGAGTCTAAGCCATGCATGAACAAACCCTGATACACCCCCCCAGCTCGGTATTATCGCTGCATGTATATGTGTGCCCAGAGGGTATGTATGTATGAGCCCCTAGGCTGTGTATATGTTCACAAGCCATGTTTTCTGTGTATGCCTGGAGGGTATGCATGCTCTATGTAGCTGAATAGCAGGATGTATGTGCCTGAAGGTCAGATATGTGCAGTACTATGTGCAGTACTATGTACAGGGAACTGTGTTCTTGAAGAGATGACAGTCCAAGCTGGACAACTTTCTCTCCCCAAAGTCCCAAGCCAGACTGGAACCCGTGATCTATGACATGAGGCCCTTGTTCTAATGTGCTCTCTCTAGCTTAGGATATCTCACGACTCATCCCCAACAGAACGACTGTAAATAGGCTGCACTAGGCTAGGGGACAAGAACATGGGGTGTCAGGACGCCCCCAAGTTGTGCAGCTACCAGTGGCCACCCCTGAGTTGTGCAGCTAACGAGTATTGAAGAGACAACCCCTCCATACCTTGCACTGCCACTCAACACGGCTCTGACCATCTCAGCTCTGGGTTCAACATTGCCAGCATAATCTTGCAGTAAGCTCCCAGGCTACAAAAATCCAGCCCAAAAAGGCACGGGATCATGCCAAACGAGACATACATATCCAAGTCATGTCGATTTGAGAACACATACAGCAAGTGCATGTCCTAAGCTCATATTTGGAACTCCTCCAACGAGCGAGACACTTTGAAATGAACTTGAAGTTTTCAACCCATTGAGTCATCCGCACAGCATTAACTTCATTGCCCCAGTAACACAGCTACGTAGAGAAACTGAGGTATTGAATCCTGCGCAGGGTTGGCAATCCAATCTTATTTCCTACATAGGGAGAGACACAGTCATCACCAGTGATAAGCAGAGACAGAAACTCGAATAGATATGGAGAAAAGATGTTATAGATAACATCCTCACAACACTGTACATTTGCACAAATATGTTTTGGATCTAAATGTTCCGGATGTCGGAAGTAATCTCTACCCGCTTCTCCTTGCCATTCTTTCGACAAGGAGACAAAACATCATAGCTACCTCCCTGCCTACAAACCTGCATGCAAACCTTCCCACACACCTACCAAATCTGCCAACATTCTGATACATGCCCCTGAGCTGCTCCTTTCCCCGCACAGGAAGACCGGTCAATCACATCCAGTCTCCGCAGCAAAGCACACCATCTTGCTGCATCAGCAAGTCAGCAAATAGTAGAGAGAATATAAGCACACCTGAGAGGCAGCACAACACCCCATCCCACCATTCTGTGCCCCCCTCCTCAACTTTCTCTCACAGACTCTTCCATCTCCTCCTACCCTCCTGAGACATGTTCATGTCGTCCTCCTGAATCATTTTCCTCCTCTTGCTGCTGTTGCCGCTGCTGCTGCCGATTGACACGTCACTATCCGCCTTCTGCTGATGAGAGCAAACATGAACAAAACCGTTGTCGTGTGACAATCTTTGTCCTCCTTGTCCCCCCTCTCACACATCCTGTGTCTCCTGCCTACCATGCTCTTGCGCTGGGAAGGTCGTTGTGTTAGTGGACCCTCACCAGCACCCCCACCCTACTCCCTGACCACCGCTGTTAGGGCAGGGGACAACATGCAGCCCGTTCATTGAAAGGTAGCCAATAGCTACGCTTGCAGGAGTCTCCTGTATAGCCTTAGGAGTAGTGATAGGCAGGTAGTGAAAGGTGAATTTGCAACTTAGAAAGAGAAAAAGGGGGGGAAAAAATGGAGTCTTCTGGTTGCATTTTCCTATCGTTCTCTCACTTTCCTCATATGACTTTTCCACCAACTCCGCATCGCATGCCTTATTTTGATCAAAGGCAACAGAAAAAGAAGAGAGGCCAAACCATAGTCGTTGCCTACTAACTGAAGGCGTGGTTATTGTAAATGTGCCCATTCAACGCCCAGCTGAAGCACACCACGTCAAGAAGTCAACTCAAGTCGACGATACCGAGTCGGTCAAAGTCTGCCAATGAGTGAGTTCGCACACAGAAGATTTCGTCAGAGATTGCAGGCCGTCTTACCTCGAGCTTGTGACTTCAGCTTCCCCCCCCCCCCCCCCCTCTTCACATCACTCCACCTCCAATGTCCATGTCTTCGTGTTGCTACTTCTAGCCTTTGTCACTGTCGTCTTCCACTTCTCACCCTGCAATTCGCCACTGTGGCTCCTTAAAGACCCTTGGTTATCCCCTGAAAATGCCTTCAGCCCACAAGACATCAGAACACTGATCGGTCCTGAACAGTTTCTACTTCTTTTCTTTTACACCCACAAAGATGCCTGATTTCCAATGAACACGAAATGGAACCACTTCACTCAGTCAAGCCGATCCACAAAGACAAAACTCACAAATCGAACTGGAATCCGCTACCCAGTTCGAGTAATGGTAACCCTCACCAAGGAGGCAAAACCATCACAATGTCGCAGGTTCCAAGCATGCAGGGAAGAGCGACATCCTCACACTTCTCATACAGCTTCATCCACTAATAGCTACCGAAGCTACCTGCACTTCTCACACACAGCTTCATCCACTAGTACCTACCAAAACTAACAGCAAGTTAGTCCATACTCACACTGGGACATCGCAGAATCTGGCCTATAATTGCAAGTATAAACATCCAGGTCCATCCCAGTCTGAGTGTGCTCTAACTGCAGCAGGGAGGCGAGCTTTTCTCTCAGCTCTGCTTTTATGTCCAGGGCCAGTAGCCATGGCTGCTTCCAGCAAGATAGCCTCCACTCTAAATTGCTCAGCTGTGGCACCTGTCCAACGACAAAAAAGCCCTGCCTAAAACAACCAAAACAAAAACATTGAAAGATCATTTAGTGACTGCAGCAATTCCGTAAGTTCCTTGTCCTGCCGCATGCCCTGTAAGGACTGCAACTTCTGCAAGGACTGCTGCATTTTGCCCTCTTCCAGAACTGCTTTCCGGAGAATTGCAACCTGAGAATCAATATCCTGTGAAAGAATCAGCATCTCCGCATAGACAACCAGAACACGATGGGCATCTCCACATAGACAACCAGAACACGATGGGTGCCTTGCAGAAGAAGCTTGGCATAGCGAGAATCCATGATGCGTTCGCCAAGGAAGGCGATGAATGGCTTCAGAGTCTGAGCATCGTCGCCTGCCAAAGCAGTGAACAGCGTCTACCTAGCAATGAGTTCCTCCACTACAGTGGTCACCACATCGGGGTGTTCACATTCTCAAGGAGCCATGAGGGCCTCGTTATGATTGAATCACTTCAGCAATTTATCAAATTCTGATAATCTAACAGGCTTCCTCTGTGCAACTTAATAGTCTGTTGTTTCCATCCACTGCTCATCCAGATTAGACTTGATAATATCGCGTCTTATATCTGGCTCTCCCCTTTCGTCTTTCCCACCACGCCACGTCCAAGTCTAGCTCCTCTGTCTTTGCCTCAGTTGCCTGCACCTTCGTTTTGCGTATTCACAGCCCACTTGACAAACGGACTGCCAGTGCCTGCAGAGTTGGAGACACTGCCATCCACAGAATAAGAGCCGGATACCTGGAGGAATGTGTGCTCTTTAATAAATACAACTCGTGAACTTTGATGTGTCCATCGAGGAATGTAAGCTGGGGTCCTTCGCCCCCTATTACAGTTGACTGTGTCACAACCGCAGGAGGCCATGACACCTGAACAGATGCGATAGCTTTCTGATGTTCAGGTAGGTTGCACCTGCTGAGACAAGAAGCCCACCAGATAGAAAGAAAGCACCATCCTCGAGAGGGCGCCCGTGCTGCAGCTGCATCGCACACTTGCCACTTCTTATATCCTGTAGCCGAACGGTGTGATCGTACAAGCCAGTTGCCATACATCCGTGGTTGCACCACCTGTCGCACCCGTCTTACATAATCGGTATGTCCGCGAAGCCTAAGAAGAGATTCCTCCGACGGTGCATCCCACCACCTTGCTGTGTTGTAATCTCCTGCTGAAAATACATGCACTTTCCCTTCCACATAGCGCGTGAAGTGGAGTGCGCTGCTATGACCCTTAAGCTGCCGCCATACAAACCTGCTCCCTGCATCAAGCACCTTAATGATTCCAGTTTCCCCAGCTGCCACTAATAAGACCTTGCCATCATGCCGAAGGCTCCCAGAATAAGCCACATCAGTGAAGCGAGAGAAGATGCTGTGCGTTTGACCATCATATAGAATCACCCAGGTCGACCTCATAATGGCGAGATCATGCGGCGTGCATTAACAGAACTCTAAATGAGTGACTGCAGCCAGTTGCTGTACCTCCTTCACAGACCTGAACTTCATCCAGAATTGACCTTCAGCTGTCCCGTGCAGAGTTTTCTTCAGGAACTCCCTGATCTGCAATTTCCTTAAGTCATGCAACTCGTCTCTCTCTCTCTCTCTCTCTCTCTCTCTGACTGCAGTCATCTCCCAGACAAAAAATTAGACTTTGTATGTGTTTGTGTGCCAAAAAGCTGTGTGTATATATATTTCGCAGGCTTGCTTTTTGGCTCGACTCGGCTCGGCTCAGTTCTGCTAGGCTCGGCTCAGCCTGGCTTTCTTCTTCTCAATTGGGGATGGCTCTGCTCCACAAGCCAAAATCGTGAGGAAGGCAGATCAAACGATAGACTACATATAGTACTCTGCAAAAAGGAACCTGCTCCAGTTTGTTGAAGGTCCTGTCTGATGCCACGTCGGACAACAGCAGACACCCACGCAAGAATAGCTCAGGTTGCTCTGTTTCCACCTTGATTGTGTGCTACAGGGATAAAAAAAACATGTCTACTGTGGCTCTCCTCCTGTCGGATCATCAAGCAAACTAAGTACTGGAGCACGCCTGCTCTTCATCTTTCCTGCCTGGGAGCTGTCATTGAGTGGATTGTGATGATCCCCATCGTTGGTTAGATGAAGATAGGGTCGCTATATGATGCTGATGCTGATGGAATTTTCCTTGACTGGATGGACATGGGATAACCATCTATCACCAAGGATATGTGTGTGTGTGTGTGTGTGTGTGTGAGAGAGAGAGAGAGAGAGAGAGAGAGAGAGAGAGAGAGAGAG